AGCCAGAAATGGGTCTCAAACCCAGGACCCTGGGATCATGACCTGCTCCAAAGGCAGACACTTAACGACTGAGCCACACAGGTGCCCCCCTACTGAAAGACTTTTAACACTCTTGGTAATAAGCCAACCCCCTCCTGTTAGTGTAGGGGTTTTGTATTTTTCCTTCTTGTGTTCTCAGACTCAGCATTTAAGAGGCCTGTCAGAAATACTTACTGAATGGCTAGGGCCATTGAAACCTAACATTAAATATCAAGTTTTTCACTATATCAATTATCACAAAACTCAAGTTCAGGAGATAAATCAATCTTTCCCCTAGAATCTGTTGAGTACAAATCCTCTCCTGGGGCGCCTGGGTGGCTCAGTAGATTAAGCCTCTGCCTTCAGCTCAGGTCATGATCTCAGGGTCCTGGGATCAAGCCCCGCATTGGGCTCTCTGCTTGGCAAAGAGCCTGCTCCCCCCACCCCACCCCGCTTGCCTGTCTGCCTGCTTGTGATCCCTCTTTCCCTCTGTCGAATAAATAAATAAAATTTGAAAAAAAAAAAAAAAAATCTCATCTCTCCTTACTTCTGAGTGAAACCTGTATCTATGTGTCCCATCCCTCTCCTGTAATTCTGCCAAGCAAAAGACCTCTCCTTCCATCCTGAAGGCACACGGACAATCTGAGTAATTCCCACTGTTCCACACACACCCCCATTACCTCTTTTCTAGCTCCCTCATTCACTCCACTTATGGCTCCTTTTCCTCCCTCCTTTGGGGACTAACTGAAACTTTCTGAGCACCTCCTGCCATGATGGATAAAATCTCAGAAGGGAGCATGGCAGCTGTGGCTTCACTCAGCTGTCCACGTTTCTGTTTCTACATTTCTTCCACACAGAACCCAGTCCGCGTACTTCCGCTCTAATTCTGATGGTCCCAACAACTCCTACAACTCAGCGGCTAGCTGCTCTATTTCCCCCACTCTATGAACTTTATTAAGTCCCTGAAATCAGAAGAAGTCTGCTCCTGAGAGGATGGAGCAGGTGTGAGAGTTACTCTTCCATGTTCTGCTCTGTAAACTTTCATATCACTTGAATCTTTTGATATTTGTAACTTAAAAATAATAAAATTTTTCAATAGTAAATATTCTCATTCACCCTCTTGGCTTTCTACCATTCTTATCCTGACCACCTTTGACTCGGGGTTCATACAGCATCTGTATCATTGGATTTGATCCTCGGCTACTAGATCCTGCAGGAGAAAGTTGGGAGGTGAAGCAATCTAGCCTGGATCCCCTGTGTGACTCTATAACCCTTCCCTGGAACCCTAAGCGGCTCTAAATTCCCAGGACAGCTGTTACAAACCTTCCCCTTCCTCCTTTGTACTTCAAAAGACCTCACCTTCAGCGAATTTTCTCTGGATCTATTTTTGTCTTCCTGTGCTTGCCCAGTTATCTTGGTGGTGCTGGCGTGCTCTCGCCCTCCTACTGTTTGCTCTCAACACCTCATATACAAATCCTCACGTTATAACCACCCTTTAATAAGTGATTCCCCTCCCTGACCTCCTCTTTCTCATTTCCTTCAGGACTAGCCATCTTGAAGGGCAGAACACCCTCACCGCTCCTACTTCCTCAGCTCCCATGCAGGTCTCAGCCCCTTCAGACTTGGCAGTCGCTCTGCACAAATTGCTCTCTTGGAGGTGATCATGACCTCAAATGTGATCGACTGACAAATCCAAAAGCCTCTTCTCATTCTCCTTCAACTCAGCATAAGCCAGTATTATGGACTATTCACTTCTACCTGAAGCTTATTTTTCCTCCTGTTACGTTTGATCTTTCACTGACGCTTCGCTTCCTGCTCTCGCCACTTAAGCACAAGACTTTCTCTATGGTTCCACAGTGATTGCCATCTTTTCTCACGCCATGTGACGGCCCTTGTTAACCTTCTCTCACTGACCATCCCACTATGAGGAACGCTCCCAAATCTGTGCCTCCCAGCCTATGTCCTAACTACGCTCTCCCCCAAGCTGGGGTGCCGCACAGGTACCTTCAGCTCAACATGCCTCACATCTGATCACCTTCCCCCACAGAACCTGCTCGGCTCCTGGCTGACTTCCCCTGTCAGTCAGCAGCTGGCCTCCTCTAGTGTGAGTGCCAGGCCTCAGTATCTTCGGCTTCCCGACTCCCAGCTCACCCAGGAGCCCGACCCCATGATGCCATTATACCCTTCCTCCTTTCCATTCCCACTGCTATTTCCAGTTCTAGCACTTTTAGCAACAACAGCAATAGCATTTCTTTCTCTACCAATCACAATGGGTGCAGACACATGCGTGGGCCATGGCACCCAGTCCTCCCCTCATGTCTCCAGACCTTCCCCATCTCATTGCCCTCCTGTACTCTGGACCCACTGTACTGATCAGATGTTGACTTAGAGGAAACGGGCCGGACACCATCTTTGCCCCAGCTTATGCCTAACATTTCACACTTCTGTTACCCGTATGGGTTAGAAAGGTCAATTAGAATTAAGGATACATACATGTGTATGTGTACATACACCCAGGTGCCCCCCCACATATATCTTAACACTACACACACACACACACACACACACACACACGAGTAAATATATTCTTGTAGATACAAACAGAAATCTATTATTCAAATAGGATTTTCAGACCATCTGGTCTGGAAGTAGGGTTTTACCAACTAATTTAAGTTAAAAGAACAAAAGTGCAGAGAGATGGCCTCTGAAAACTTGAAGATTCTCTCCAAAACCCCTTTGTATCCTGTTATGGACTGAATTGTGTCCACTACCCTCACCACACACACCCCAGCCAATTCTGACTTTGAAGCCTTAGCCTACCATGTAGGGTATTTGGATAGGACCTTTGAAGAAGTAATTAAGGTGAATGAGATCATAAGCATGGGGTCCTAACCCATCTATAGGACTGGTGTCCTTGTAGGGAGAGGCAGAGGCCCCAGGAGTGCCTACACATAGAGAAAAGGGCCTGGGCACAGAAGGCAGCTGCAAGGCCTGGAGTGAAAGCTCAGGAGAGGCAAAGCTGCCAGCACCCTGATGGGACACTTCCAGCCTCCAGGACTGCGAGAGCAGCAATTTCCGTCATTTAAGTCTCCAGACCGTGCTGTTTCCTTAGGCATACATAACCTAAGGCCCAAAGAACTGGCATGTCTGTCAACTAAAAGAGATAAATGAGGTACAGTGAGTAAGATACTTAAAGCAGGAAGGATTTAGATTCAATGTAGAACTGTCATGACCGCAGGGGGTTGCTGAAACTGGTTGCAGACAATGACCCCAAGGAGAAACAGACCTCGGAGATGGACATTTGAAAGCAGATTCAAAGGATGCGTGTAGAAAGGTTGGATCTTAATGGATTATAGCCTTTTCTACACCCTGTTCCAAAGAAGAGTACAGGTAAAATGGGTTTCATGGTAAAATAAGGTTTAGAAACACAAAGTGTTTTACTTTGTTCTACTGCAGAATTTCTTGGAGGCTTTTATGAGCCCCACCAAGCTCCGAGAGGGGGTAGAGCATTATTTGATGACAGAGCCCTTCACCTATGAGACACCACAGCTGCTGCTTCTTCCCAGGGGCCTATCTGCAGAGAAGATGGAACAAAGGAAGCTTGGCTGCTTTCAGGAACATCCCCCTAGTGATGGCAGCCAGCGCTTGGGGCGGTGCTGGGGCACAACTACAGAGGCCTGATACAGAGGGGACCACGAAGTGGTGGGTGGTAAGTGCGCGCCCTTGACCTTGTTAACTGTATGCTCTTAAGCAAGTTCCTCAGCCTCTAGTCTGGAGGTCAGTTTCCTCACCTATAAAACACAGTGACAGAGTACTCATCACCACAGGGATTTCTACAGATGATATGGCAAGAATTAGGCTAAAGGCTTTCCTTTGGGAAGTATTAAGTACAGATGAATATTCTACAGGTTACAGGTCTGCCATAAAGTGGCTTTCCCCAGTAACAAATCTTGATGATGTAAGAGAGATGAGAGTAAAGGAAGATGGAAACATTAGCCACTGTTTTCAATTTTTCTCATGCAATTCACTATCTGCTGCAGGCCAGAGGCTGGTCCAACAGGAGGAAATCCTGCGCTCTGCCAGATTTCAAGTTGGCAGGGCACCTATGGGCAGAAGAGCAGGTGTGTTTTCACCCCCTCCCTACCCTGTTCCTTTTAAGTGGACCCATCAGGCCAACTCAGCGAGCCCTACATAGCCACCTTCACTAGGAGCCCAGTTATTTACAGTGTGAGAGCATTGACCGCCAAATAAAAATGACAACAGAAAATAACAAAGAGATTTATTTTCATGTCACTGTCCTACTTTCTTCTGGCTGTCACTAACAACCTGACAGTGTGTCTCTACCACCCTTGATTCCTGCACTGTTCAACACACCAACAATCACAAAAATATCACCTTACTGTAGAGAGAAGTACCTTTTTTCTAAAGCCCACTGGGCACAGCAGGAAGGTGGCCAATTCCCTGGTCCCTCTCCTCTTCTGGCCCTTCTCTCGGGGTCTCCATCCCATGGGTAAGGATCCACACAGGAGGATGAGTCAGCCTCAGCCTCCTCTCGTGTGCAACTCATCCTCACCCCTGGATCCCCCCAGGGGAACAAAGAAAGAGACTTCTGTTGTCCCATTTCTCAAATGGAGAGCCTTACAACCAACCAAGGTTTCAAACACAAAACCAAGCCCATACAAAGCAATGTGGAGGCAGAGCTGTTTTGCAGGCACTTTCATTTCAATGCCCCACTGGGAGGTGTTTCCCTGTACCGTCCTCATGACTTTTCGTCATCTTCCACAATGGCAGAATTAGATGGAAGAATTAACAGAAATGAGAGAAGCAAAAAAACATCTAACCCTTTAGGAACAGCCTTCAACCCAAGTCCAGTGAGATGGCTTGCAACAGTCCTGACACCCATCCCCCCACCCTCTATTCCTGTAGCCAAGCCCAAGCACTGACAACACCCACCCTCTGGACATTCAGAATCACAGCCCCTCAAGGTCCAGGTTCTGTGAAGATGGGCGGGAGTCCCCTAGGAGAGCTGGACCTGCCCTTGCTCATCAGGAGACAACCTGGGCTGGCACTGCGGGCACCACCATGTGAGCCTCTGGAAGCCACCCGGAGGCCCAAACGCCTCTCTCATGACCCGGTGTCCCCCAGGGCACTGTTCTTTCTGGTAGATCTGCGGGTGCTGCTGTCTGCCCTCGAACTTGCCCTGAAGCCAGTCCGCACTGAACTCCACCACATGATCCACGAGGGCCTCAAGGTGCTGATGGCTGAGGAGAGAGCCGAGAGAAAGGGGATGGATCCCTGCTCTGTACAAGGCTTCATTCTTAATGATGTTCCCTGCAGGGAGGCAGGGAGAGGACAAGGGAAAGAGAAAGAACACCTCGGTCATGAGCCCCATCCACAAAACTGACAAAACAAATGGAAGCTGGCACAATGGCAGCGGGAGGGCTCCTGCAGATGACTGGGGCCAACCCTGTCACGGCCTGCGGGTTCTCGGGCAAGTCACCTACTCTGAGTCCACCTCCCTGTCTGCCAACTGGATTTGCTTATACTTACCTTTAAGGCTGTTGTGGAGACAAAACAAAATGAAACTTGTGTGTGGCCCGTGTTACAGGAAAGAGGTTATCCAAACAGCCTAAGGAAGCTGACTGCCAGCATTTGAACCCCACTCAACCAGATCCTAGCTACGTGACCCTGGCAGGTTCCTTAGCTTCTATAAGCTCCACATTCCTCACCTGTAAAATAGGGATCGCTTACCTGGCTTTTGTGAGCAGTAAATGAGAATTCTCACACACACACACAAACACACACACATACACATTCAGCACTGTGGCTGGTATGTAGAGAGTACTCAATAAATATTAGCCGCTATTATTTAAAATGCCAAGCAGATTGCCTGAGATATAAATCATTTAGGAGGTATTATTTCATTATTTTTCTACTACTGCCTCATTCTTGGTGAAGCTAGTCTTGACCCCTCCTTCTAGAATCAATAACTCTCTTCAAAATGTCCCAACGGTGCACTTTAACTTCTACCAGGCATTTGTCACAATCTATCTGAAATTGCAGTGAACTGAGCCCATGCTTGCTGGGCCATTAATAACCTCCTGAAGGTGAGACTTTGAACTCGGTAGAAGGCAAGCATTCAGCTTGTGTGGGATGAATGGATGAATGAAATCACTGCTCTTTGCAGGGGCTTCATAATCACACCCCTAGTCATACACAACTGTTTCTCTACAATTCCCTGGCAAACTACCTGGATTCCTATCTCAGCTGCACCACATACCAGCAACGTGTCTTTTGCTTTGGCTTCTTTGTGTGAGGAAAGGGAAAACTAACGAGTCACTATCCTACAGAATAGCAGGAAGGCTGAAGCCACACGACTAGCACGTTAAGAGTCACACGAAAAATGTCGGCTATTACTAATACTGTTGGTAACAATGACTAGTCAGTAGAGCGTGAGGTCCTGCTATAAATAACCCAAAGGCTGCTTCTGGAGGTCTCTTTCTCCCTCAGGGCACAAGGGCTCCCATAATCTTAATGTGAAAATGCAAGGCCGCTGTCTGGGGAGCCCCCGGGCCTCCTCCCAGCTCCTAAGGGGAGCTGTGCCAGCAATAGGCACCATCAGGCCTTGGATATGAGGTGATTTTGTCATCAGTTCCCTCAACTGCCTCAGCAGCCAGTCACAGGGCACAAGGCCTCTGCTGAGGTAGTAAGAGCAATCAGTTCTTCTAGTTCTGTGAGTTAGCTGTTCTGGTTTTCAGATCGCTCAGCTCCTTTTCCCTCCCCCTGGAAAATGCTCACAGTTTCATTGTGCATGACACCTGAACAGAGGGAGGGAACCTGCTTCTTTATCCATATCTTTTAAGATCCTGATGGAGGCCTGAGGCATCTGTGCTTTGCCAGCAGGCAGGCAGCGCCATCTGCCCAAGAGGCCCCATTAACAAACGCACTGCTCTCCCTCAGTACACTGCACAGCTTCTGGTGCCCAGCAGATACTGACTGAGTAACTGAGTACCTCCGCTGTGCCAGGCGCTACACCAGGCAGTGGACGATTCAAGGAGAAAGAAGACAGGACTCCTGCCCTTTAGGAAGTTATTATGTGATGTGGCCATGGGCAGACTCCAGATGATAATGTAATTAGGATGTGAATTCTGAAGCCAGGAGAGAAGTTAGAAACTGCCTCATCTAACTCCCTCAGTTTATTTACTTTTTTTTTTTTTTTAAGATTTTACTAATTTATTTGAGACAGAGAGGGGGAGAAAGAGAGATAGCATGAGTGGTGGGGAGGGACAGAGGGAGAGGGAGAAGCAGACTCCCCGCTGAGGGGGGAGCCTGATGTGAGGCTCAATCCCAGGACCCTGAGCTCACGCCCTGAGCTTACAGCAGATGCTTAATGGACAGAGCCACCCAGGCGACCCTTACTCCCTTAGTTTAAAAAATGAAGAAGTGAAACTAAAGAGATTAAGTGATTGCCTCAAGCACACAGGTGGTGGGTCTCATCCCTTTCCCATCACTCATACCTAAGCCTGAGAAGTATCTTTGGTCCAACAGGGTATAGCAGACAGGCTGCTCCTGGCTCAAAGCTTCCAAGGCTTGTCGTCGATCAAACTTTTCCGACAAGATGTCAGAGGCAGGTCTGACCACTGGGGAAGAGCTCCAAGACATCTGACAATTATAGAATGCCAGGAAGCCGCCACCACCAAAGTACAGGACCAACCTGGAAGAAAGAAAAGGTCCTAAGTGCGTGCGGCTCAGGGCACAACACGTACATACAGCTCCCACTCAAGAGTTAAGTCACACAGTCCATAATGCTCCCACTCCACAGTCAAGATTCACCCAGGGAAGCTAAGACCCCAAGAGAGAAAAGGGATGGTTCTCAGGGCTAAATGCAGTAATTAAAACATATATAGGGGCGCCTGGGTGGCTCAGTGGGTTAAAGCCTCTGCCTTCGGCTCGGGTCATGGTCCTGGGATCGAGCCCCACATCGGGCTCTCTGCTCTGCGGGGAGCCTGCTTCCTCCTCTCTCTCTGCCTGCCTCTCTGCCTGCTTATGGTCTCTGTCAAATAAATAAATAAAAATCTTTAAAAAAAAAAAAACATATATATATTGCTCCACCTTTCTGATCAGGGCCATACATGTTCACTAAAGACAACATGACCTATGGAAGTCTCAAAGCTCAGGAGGTGTGTACCTGCACAAAAGCAGAGTTTGTTGTGAAGGACAGAGAAATAGACACTAGAGAGGTACCGCTCCCAGTCCTGGCAAGATTTAACGAGAAATACATACCCACCCGCATGCCCCTGAACTTCCTGAATTCCAAGGACACAGGAGAAACTTTCTGATCTTTGATAAAGACACAATGGGTTACTATGTAAAGGCAGATAATCAGCCAGACTCCATTATCTGAAGGGAAATATCCATATATCTGACCTAGGTGGTATTCTGGCGTGGAAACAAAAGGACAATTTTTTTTTTAAATTTTATTTATCTGAGAGAGAGAGATTCCGTGTGTGTCATTGTGGGGAGGAGGAGAGAAACAGGGACAAGCAGGTTTTGTGCTGAGCACAGAGTACAATGGGGGTTTGATCCCACAACCCGAAATCACAACCTGAGTTGAAATCAAGAGTTGAACACTCAACCAACTGAGCCACCCAGGTGCCCCAACAGGACAACTTCAGAGGAAAAAGCCTCAGAGACACATCTACCATAGTATCTGAGGTAACTACTCAAGGAAAAATAAATGCCTAACGGAAATGAGATCAGCAGGGACCTCAAGCCAAGGGGAGAGGAAAAGGGTAAGACAGAAGGGGCAGCCCTGGGTTGCATAATATTTATTGTGAGAGATCCAGAGGACTGGATGATAGCACAGCTGAGAACTGTAGCACATTAAGAAGGAATTCTGGAACCAGAAGATACCCTTGTTGACCATTGGAAACGAGAGAAGTGCTGTGTGATCACTAAGGAGCTGAGGCACTTGGAGCTCCTAAAATGGCAGATTACCTCAGTGCTGATCTGTGGAAAACAAGGAGGAGGAGGAGGAGGACGAGAACGAGAAGCCTAACTCTGGATGAGGGGGAGAGCGTTTTGCTGAACACGTATGGTCAGAGCACTGACTCTAGACAGATAGAGCGGGTTGAAGATGACATGCGACAACGTCTTAAGAAGCTTAATGAGCTCACTGGCCTGGTCCACCCACATTCAGGGATTTGGCTGCAGAAAAGCAAACACTGCAGAGTGAACAGCCTTTGAGGGTTACGAGGTGTACAAAGATAATCAGTGCAGACTTGGAGGACCCGAAGTACATTATCAATGTGAAGTAGTTCGCCAAGTCTGTGGTGGATCTCAGTGATCAAGTAGCACCTACTTGCCCTGAAGAAGGAATCAGAGTTGGCGTGGACAGAACAAAGTATCAAATTCATATTCTGCTGCCTCTGAAGACTGATCCAACGCTACCATGATGCAGGTGGAGGAAAAACCTAATGTCACACACAGTGATGTGTCTGGCTCTAAGGAACGGATTCAGAAACTCTGAGTAGTAGTTGAGCTCCCAATACTTCATCCAGACAGATTTGTTAACCTTGACATTGAGCCTCCCAAGAGTGGACTGCTCTTTGGTCCACAGGTATAGGCAAGATATTCTGTGCTTGGGCAGTTGCTAAAAGGGCTGATGTCTGCTTTCCAGGTTACTGGATCTGAACTTGTACTAAAGAATGTCAGTGAAGGGGCTCGAATGGTTCAGGAACTCTTTGAAATAACCAGAACAAAAAAAGCCTGCCTTATCTTCTTCAGTGAAATGGATGCTTCTGGAGGAGCTCGTGTCGAGGATGTGGCTGAAGGAGACAATGAAGTGCAGAGAATGATCCTGAAACTGAGCAATCACCTGGGCAGTTTTGATCCTCAAGGTAAGAGGAAAGGGCTCATGGCCACCACGAGACCTGACACTTCAGAACCAGCACTGATGAGGCCAGGGGGACTGGGCAGAAAGACTGCATTTAGCTTACCTGATCTAGAGGGTCGGACCCACATTTCTGAGATTTGTGCTCGTTCAATGAGTGTTGATAGAGATGTCAGATTTGAGTTGTTGGAGTGACTGTGTCCAAATCGCTCTGCTGCGGAGATGAGAAGCAGAAGCTGGTATGCTTGTCATCAGAGCACAGCGAAAAATCGAAAAATCACTACCCAGGAGGATTCCTTGGAGGCTGTAAATAAGGTCACTAAGTCTCACACCAAATTCAGTGCTACTTCCTGCTGTCTGACACACAATGGAGCCCTGAGGCTTTCACGGAAAAACTGCTTTTCACTGGAATTCTAACTTTACTGAATAGACTTGTTAATCAGCATTATGCACACAAAAATAAAGGGTTGCAAAACTGAATAAAAACAAAGAAGACAGGGTGCCTGGGTGGCTCAGTGGGTTAAGCTTCTGCCTTCAGCTCAGGTCATGATCTCAGGGTTCTGGGATCAAGCCCTATACCGGGCTGTCTGCTCAGCAGGGAACCTGCTCCCCCCCTTCTCTCTCTGCCTGCCTCTCTGCCTACTCGTGATCTCTGTCAAATAAATAAATAAAATTAAAAAAAAAAAAAGAAGATATAATGTTAATGTATATTTAATATTAATTAACTTAATTACACATAATTAATAATATTATATAGTTAACAATCTGGAATTAAAATTCTGAACTATCTCACCCCTCCCCTTACTCCCGCAGGAAATAGGGTGGACAACAGGACAAAAGAAGTGGTGAAGTGGAACTATTTCAAAGGCCTCCTCTCAGAAGGATGAAGGAAAGGAGCAAAAAACCAGTTTCAATAAGAAGGGAGACATGTTATTAGTTTAATGTTACTAAACATTTGGTCGTTATTAACCAAGAAAAATATGAGTCTAATTTAAAGGGAACATTATTACCAACAGAAAGAAGATGAATAGCAGTACTTGCTACTTACTCAAAAGAAATAAAAGATGGTGGGGGGAAAGGAGAAAAGAAAGAAACTTGAAAAATCCAACAGAAAAAAAGAAACTAGGTATAATAAAATGGCAAAGGAAGAAAATCCAAATACCATAGTCACCTCATTTCAAAACAAGGAGTTTGAGTTTAAAGAGATACAAAAGCTAGAAACTCACCATTTGTAAGAAGTATACCTAAAATAAGTGAAAAAGCACACCTGTAAAGCACACACTAAGTGGAAAAAGACTATGTGGGCCAAACACAGAGTGGCATCATTATCATCAAGCAAAGCCGAGTTCAAGACCAAAGGCAAACAGAAGGTCTGTTATTATTTCTTTTCTTTTGTTTTCTTTTTTTCTTTTCTTTTCAAGAGAGAGTGAGGGAGGTGGAAGGCAGGGGCAGAGGGAGAGGAAGAGAGAATCTTAATCAGACTCCATGCTCAGTGTGGAGCCTAACACAGGACTCAAACTCACAACCCTGAGATCATGACCTGAGTCTAAATCAAGAGTCGGATGCTTAACTGACTGAGCCACTCAGGAGGCCCCAAGGGTATGCTATTATTTTAAAAAGCTGCAAAGAAGTCAGAGACCTTGATGCTGTGGACAACAGGGCAGCAAACACATAAACACACTAGAAAGACAAGGAGAAACCATAAAACCACAATCACCCTAGAGGATTTTAATGCTCCTCTTCCATGTTTGGCATATTAAGTAAACAAAAAATAAGCAAGGATAGAGTGTTTAAATTACCAAAGCAATAACCTGTTCTTAATAGTTATATAAGGTTTTGCTTTTTATGAACATATTGTCTTCATTTACGTACACAAAACGTAAACAAAGACCCATGACGTGTTTGACTGTAAATATGCCCAAAGTAGAAAACTTACAGACTGATATCCTAATCACAATCCAATAAAAAAATGACAACAAAATGATGACCCCACTCAAATGTCTGGAAAATCAGAAAATACTCTTCCCGTATAGAGTATATAAAACTAATATTATTTATTTGAAAGACCAACAAAATTGATAAAACTCTGGTAAGCCTAATTAAGAAACAGGAGGTAGGCAACAAATGAAAATAAAAAACATAAAGAAGGAAAAGGCAGACATAACTTCACAAGAAGAGATTTTAAAAATAAAAGAATGATATATGTTAACTCTGTGACAATAAATTCAGAAAACCTAGTTAGGGTTGAGGCTTGTTCTTGAAGAGCATTTCTTTTTTTTTTTAAAGATTTTTTTTTTTTTTTGACAGATCACAAGTAGGCAGAGAGGCAGGCAGAGAGAGAGAGAGGAGGAGGCAGGCTCCCTGCTGAGCAGAGAGCCCGATGCGGACTCAATCCCAGGACCCTGAGATCATGACCTGAGCTGAAGGCAGAGGCGTTAACCACTGAGCCACCCAGGCGCCCCTTGAAGGGCATTTCAACTGCCCTAGCTAGTGACTAATTTAGCAATCCGCCCATGAACCAGCTTCAGGCCATAAGAGGTTGGCTGGGATTTTCTGAGAAAGCTCTGCTTGCTCATCTGAACTTCTAGAAAAGGACTATCTCTTTCCCTCTTCCCCTCTTCATGTGTAGACAGAAGGCATGGAACTGCAAAAGAGCCTCTTGCTACTGGTCTAAGGACAAAACCAACATACGGGAAAAGGCCCAGGAGAGTCACAAGAACATGAAGCCCAAGGCAGGGATCGGCTCAGGTCATGATCCCAGGGTCCTGGGATTCAGCCCCACATCGGGCTCTCTGCTCAGCGGGGAGCCTGCTTCCTCCTCTCTCTCTGCCTGCCTCTCTGCCTACTTGTGATCTCTACCTGTCAAATAAACAAATAAATAAAATCTTTAAAAAAAAAAATACTGATTACTGACTATATAAAAACTTAAAATCCCAGGGGGTGGGAGGATGGGTAAAGAGGTATAGAGGATTAAGAGATCTAGACTTCCAGGGTGCCTGGGTGGCTCAGTGGGTTAAGCCTCTGCCTTCGGCTCAGGTCGTGATATCGGGGGCCTGGGATTGAGCCCCACATCAAGCCCCATATCGGGCTCTCTGCTCAGCGGGGCGCCTGCTTCCCCCTCTCTCTCTGCCTGCCTCTCTGCCTACTTGTGATCGCTCTCTGTCAAATAAATTAAGAAAAATCTTTAAAAAAAAAAAAAAGAGGTCTAGACTTCCAGTTATAAAATAAGGAAGTCACAGGGATGAAAAGTACAGCATAGGAAATACAGTCAATAATAATATTATCCTATAATAATATAGAATAATAAATATTATTATATAATAATATAGTCAGTAATAGTATTGTTTGGTGACAGATGATGACCACATTTATCGTAGGCACTAAGTAATGTCTAGAATTGTTGAATGATTATTTTCTATACCTGGAACTGATATAACATTGATGTCAACTATACTTCAATAAACATCTTTAAAAATAAATAAAAATTTTTTAAAGTTTTAGATTAAAGAGCAGGTATGAGTGGCGGGAGGGCAGAGGGCAAGAATCTCAAGGGGACTCCCTGATGAACGTGAAGCCTGATGCGACGCGGGGCTCCTTCCCATGATCCATGAGATCGTGACCTAAGCCGAAACCGAGAGTCAGACACTTAACTCACTAAGCTACCCAGGTGCCCCTAAAAAGTTTTTAAATCTTGAATGCCAAAAGGCACAAACACTGTCAAAGGACACAGGTAGACTTGAAACACTGGCATCACATATCACAAAGATTAACATGCAATATACAAAAGCCTCCACAAACTGATAAAAAGTATACAAACAACATGAAGCTAGTTAAGAATTCGGCTAAATGAGCACATATGCAAGGCTGTGAGGATGTTCGTTCTCAGTGACCAGCAATGACTCCTCTGGGAAATCTACACGGAGGTAATAATCCTGAACAGGGACTGAGTTTTACACACCAAAATATTCTTCCCACCACTGGCAGATGGAAACCAAGACAATTCTGTCCCTGAATTCAGAGTGCACTCGTCAAGCCATAAAACGTCCTTCAGCGCCATCCCACTCTCAAGAGCCATGCTTGTTGGGAAAGTTCTTCCCTTTTTCTACGCCGCCCCAGAATGTTTCCAGCCCTCTCTGGATGCAGGCACAGTCCGCTTTCTAGCACGGGTAGTCTCTGCTAGGACTCGGGCTGCCGGCGAGTCGGTGGGACACCCACCTGAGTGAGCCCACAGAGCCCAGCCCCAAGCCTGCACACGGGGGGCCGTGTCAAACACCAAACACCTGCAGAGCCACAGCCACAGCCTGCCCAACCACACCATTACCTTGGAATGGGGTCCCTCCAGTCGCCCCTCTTGTTTGCTTTCTTCGCTCTGGAGAACTCGTTCACCCAAATGCTGCCAAACATACCAAAGCTGACCTGCAGCCACCTCTCCGCAGCTCCCACAGCAGCATCTCCCCGCAAACCCTCCAAACCACTGTCTCCACTGGGAGCAACATGCTCCAGGGACTGAGAGGGCGGCTGAGAAGTATTCTGGCTGCTGGGCCCCGAGGCCTGCTTTTGGTCCTGGACCTCCTCCTTCCTCTCTCCTTTTTCTAGAGACTCTGGCAGTGAGATGTTGCCAAGGGAACCAAGTTCTTCATCTGGATCAAATCTAAGGAATAATTTTTTTCCATGGACCTGGAATTAAAAAAAGGACACGATCTCAGTCTTTGCTGTGGACTTGTTTGTGCCCTTCCCCCTGCAAATGTGTATGTGGAGGTGGGCCTCTGGGAGGTAATTAGGTCAGCAGGGTGAAGTCCATGCAAATGGGATTAGTGTCCTTATAAAAGAGGCCCCAGGGAACTCCCCTGCTCCTTACACCATGTGATGTGAAGAAGGCGAGAAGCTGGCTGTGTATGAACCGGGAAGCAGGCTCTCACCAGACACCAAAACTGCCAGGCTGTCTGATCTTAGACTTCCAGCCTCTGGAACTGTGAGAACTAAATTTCTGTTGGTTTTAAGCCACTCAGTCTGTGCTGTTGTGCTATAGGACCTGAATGGCCTAAGCCTTACAGACCCAGAAAAGGAAAGACTAAAGAGGTATATGCCAATGTTTATAATGCAAACTTATCCCCTGCCTCTTCGAGGAAGCTTTCCCAAGCTGAGTATTTTGGACCTGCCTTTGGCCCTTTGCTCCAGTGGTACCGGCAGTTAGCACATGGTTTTCAAAGTGACTGAAAGCAAGAATTGGACTAGCAGTAACACAGATCCATGCTAGAAAGCAGGACCACCCTAGAATAAGGGAGGGGAAATGCTCCCGATGTGTTCACGAATTAGCTGAGAAAGAAATACAAACTGTCATCCTGTATTTAATTCATAATACTTCTTTGTTAGAAATAAGCAGCAAACACACACACACACGCACACACACCGCATACACTAATGGATGGCAGCTAAAGTACACTACATTTCAGATGCTGTAAATACACAACGAATTTTACACATTGTAGAATTTGGTACCTCTCACTCGATGAAATTGGATCTGGTAGAAGAAATGGCCACAAGAGAACTCACAATAAAAAAGAAAGCGACAGGGGCGCCTGGGTGGCTCAGTGGGTTAAGCCGCTGCCTTCGGCTCGGGTCATGATCTCAGGGTCCTGGGATCGAGTCCCACATCGGGCTCTCTGCTCAGCGGGGAGCCTGTTTCCCTCTCTCTCTCTCTGCCTGCCTCTCCATCTACTTGTGATCTCTGTCTGTCAAATAAATAAATAAAATCTTAAAAAAAAAAAAAAAAGAAAAAAGAAAGAAAGAAAGCGACAATTAATAGAAGGTGAGTATTGACACAAACACTGATGAATGGATCAAACCGTAAAATGTATATAAAATGTACAAAGAAAAAGAATTAACTTCATCCCCAATGAAAACGATTTCAAGAAAAGTGGATGAGAACAGGAAATGTAAAAGAATGTTCCATGTGCTTTGTATTCTATTTTCATAGCTAGCCCTACTATGTAATGTGCAAGTCCAGATTCCAGGATGAGCCTGTTCAGCATGTTCTGAAATTCCAGCAGCCTTTTAAAAGCAAAACACCTGGCATCGACAATGGAAATGCCTGTGTTACTTTTTTGGCCTCCGAAAGTACATACTTAGAGACCACAGTTCTGATATGATCTCCAATTTGTCAATTAGCATAAAAATCTTAACTGTAGTAGTCTTTGAAATCCTCTCCCTAAAAGAAGGCATTACCTTTCTAAATAATTCCAGAATAACTCATCAGCAAACGTGAGCACAGAAGTTTGCTGCCACATATTAGAAATGGCTTAACTGAACTACATAAAAAACTGAGCAAGAATTAAGTAGGCATGGGGCGCCTGGGTGGTTCAGTGGGTTAAAGCCTCTGCCTTAGGCTCAGGTCATGATCCCAGGGTCCTAGGATGGAGACCATTATCAGGCTCTCTGCTCAGCAGGGAGCCTGCTCAGCAGGGAGCCTGTTTCGCCCTCTCTCTCTGCCTACTTACGATCTCTGTCAAATAAATAAACAAAATCTTTTTTTTTAATATTTTATTTATTTATTTGATAGAGATCCCAACTAGTCAGAGAGGCAGGCAGGGAAAGAGAGGAGGAAGCAGGCTCCCTGCTGAGCAGAGAGCCGGATGTAGGACTCCATCCCAGGACCCTGGGATCATGACCTGATCCAAAGGCAGAGGCTTTAACCCACTGAGCCACCCAGGCGCCCCTAAATAAACAAAATCTTAAAAAAAAAAAAAAAAAGAATTAAGTGGGCATGATAGAATTCATTCCAAAAAGTATTTTTTTGATGCAATTTCAGCAATGTTGGTATAATGCTGATGAAAATACATGCAAAATGCCCCTCGGATCAAAACATTTACCGGGTCAAAAATGCCTAGGTCAGGACATCTTTGTGTCCTCTCCAACTATGGCAATTTCTACTGTCCCTCTTTTAAATTCCTGGGACACTGTTGTTATTTCAATTAGCTGACCCTTAACTGAGCTTTTACAATGTGCCAGGCAGTGTGCTAGGTTCAGAGGGGCATACAGATGAGGAAGGCTCCACTCAGTTCCCTCTGGAAACTCAGTATTTGAAGAGAAGGAAATTCTGACACGTGCTACACGAACCTTGAAAACATTATGCTCGGTAAAAGAAGCCACTCACGGGATGCCTGGGTGGCTCAGTGGGTTGAGCCGCTGCCTTCGGCTCAGGTCATGATCCCAAGATCCTGGGATCGAGTACCACATCAGGCTCTCTGCTCGGTGGGGACCCTGCTTCTCTCTCTGCCTCTGCCTGCCTCTTTGTCTGCTTGTGTGTTCTCTCTTTCTCTCCGACAAATAAATTAATTTAAAAAAAAAAAAGAAGAAGCCACTCACAAAAGAACACATGCTGTATAATTCCATATATGTAAAATATCAAAAAAAAAAAAACCCCAGCAAATCTATAGAAACAGGAAATAGACTAGTGGTTGCTTACGACTGGAAGCAGAAGGCAAGGGTGAAATGAGGAGGGACTGCTAATAGGCAAACGGTTTCTTTCTGGGGAGATGAAAATGTTCTAAAATTGATTGTGGTGATGGTTGTACAACTCTGTGTGAAGACACTAAAAGCCACCGAACTGCACACTTTAAGTGGGTGAATTGTATGTTATGTAAATTTTATCTCAGTAAAGCTGTTATATATTGTTTAAAAGCTGGAGAACTGGTTATAAGTCTCTGTAGTCTCAGTAATCCGCCGAAACTAGGATGGAATAGAAACATTAACAACCATGTAAAGAAGAACTCAATACTTATCCCCCATGCACTCTTTCTCAGGAGAAGATAATGGACCAGGTGCAGGGAGACTACTGACTATTTCCCAATATCCCTCTCCCCTCTTCCCTATTAACAAATCTACCAATTTACAGGGACCTCAATAACCTCAGCTACTGATTTAGGGTGCTTCAACGTCCTCAGCTAAAAAATCTGTCTCCCAGACTCCCTTAGAGATGGGGCAGCCAGTGAAACATATGCAGGAGTGCTCAAATGTGGTTTCCAGAAAAGTTCTTTAAAATAGATGAACAGGCTTCTAGGTCCCTTTTGCCCTATCTCCTTTCCTTCCTCTTTCTTCCTGCCTAGAATGTAATGGCTGGAATCTCAGCTGCCATGTTATCACCATGAGAATGAGGGTCACACCCCAGGGAGGGGAGAGTGGAAGAGCATCATTGGTGCCCAGTGATCTCGCGTTGCTCCCATAACATCCTGGACTTCCTCCTCTGGACTTGACATTATGTCAAGGGAGGGGAAAAAAAAAACCCACACACTCCAGACACAAATAATCTGTTCTTCTGAATCCGTTATGAGTAAGCAAACACAATCCTAATACAGAAACTGGAGAAACCAACCTGTAAAGACAGGGAAGGAGCTTGCCAGAAAAAACAGGTGGCACAGAGTGCAGCCAATCTCTTCCCTCCTTCATTAGCCCAGTGTGCTCATTCTATCTCCATCTGCCTGTCTATAACTGCTTCACAAACCCGAAGTGCCCTTTGTTTTCCTTTTGGTCGATCTAAATCCTCCATCCTTCAAGGTCCAACTCAAATCTCACCTCCTTCATGAAGCCTTCTTGTTTTTTCTAAAGATTTTATGTTATTTTATTTTTTATTTTATTTGAGAGAGAGAGCAGGAGCAGAGGGGAGAGGCAGAGAAAGAGGTGGAAGCAAAGCAGGGAGCCAGATGTGGTACTTGATCCCGGGACCCTGGGATCATGACTTGAGCTGAAGGCAGACACCTAACCAACTGAGCCACCCAGGAGCCCTATGAAGTCTCTTACTCCAGGCTACAGCACCTCTTCTCTGCTGAGGCCCTCAAATGAGCCTTAATCATATGCTCCCCTCCTTCCCAGTCACTGTTACCTAATAGTTTCCCCTGTTGTAGATACAGGTCTTACTTTCCAAATTCAACTCTCAGGTCCTTAGGAGGCAGAGGTGCAAAGAAGGGAGCACAGTGATGAGAACTTATACCCCTACATGCCAGGCAGTTCCTCAAGGCTGTGTCCCTCAGGGTTCTTGGGCTCCCACAACACCAATCTCTGCCTTGGTTTACTAGAAGACCAGCTCCCAGTTCCATCTCAAGGCTCCCCGTCCACACACTGTCTGTACATTCAACCATTCCATAAATAATCTCTGCGAGCCAGCTCTGTAACAGGCACAGGCTAAGTGCTGGGGTTCCAGTGATGAAAGGATCTAATCCTGCCCCTGCCAACCTTGCAGCGGTCTGGTCAGAGTCCAAAAACTCTCCCGGTAGGAGTGCATACCTGGAGGTCAGGTGACCTGGGCCCCCACAAGCGACATCAACTTGGATGGAGGGTTCTCCCTCTGGGGCCCCATCTCCAAAGGTAGAAAAGGTAAGTGAACGTCTAGAAGACCTCTTTCAGTTCTAACCAAGAATGGGTTTATAACCCACGAGGTGTGTGCGAAGGACAAGGTGGGAAAAAGAGAATCAGTATTTATTGAGCACCTGTGCCAGACATAAAGTCTGTTTAATACAATTGTAACTGCTAAGTATTTATCCCCATTTTACAACTGCAGAAACTACAGCTAAGAGATTAAGCAACTTGCTTAGGAGCTCACAGCTAAACAGCAGAGCTAATTTATTTTTTCTATAGACAATTACCATATATATGCTTCCTAAGAGCTGGCACTCAGAGAAGTGCTTAGGCATACAATACTGATGAGGGCATGCGTCTACCCTGTTGCTTAGTCTCCTCCACTCAACCAGCAGGAGAAACTCAGCAATAAGGATCTATTAGGAGGAAGTACAGGGTCCCCAGCAAGCACAGAGAAGTCTCTCCCCACCCTCAGAACAGGCAGGCCAGGCTTTTCAGAGGATGTGATGGAGAGGCTGAATCCTGAAGACGAGGAATTACCATGGTCACGTGAAAGGATGAGAACGGGAGCAGAGTTGGGGTGAAAAAAGGAAGATCTGCCCAAGCAGGGGAGCAGCACATCAAAACCATGGGCAATAAGGATTGGTGGAGGAGCCCCAGAGAGTTCGACAGGATTGGAAGAGAGATTTGGGACAGGGGAAGAAGCAGGCCTAAAGAGGCACAAACCAGACCACAGAAGCCCTGGGAGCCCCTGCAGGCAATTCTGCCTGATGCTAAGGGCATGGATGAGGCCACCAGAATCCAGATCAGAAGGCTATGCTCTTTCCTTCCGTCCCTGCTAGTTCCCAACCACAGAAGCACATTCGATGACCAGAATCACTCCAGACTCTGAATCAGAATCTACAGCCCATGCCTGCACAGGGTACTTTATCTAGTTCCATATGCCACTGCAATGCCCACTCCTGGCTAACATCAGACCTAAACATCAGACCTAAAGGGGATGAGCGCTATGGGGGTCCTCGTGTGGTTGCCCTGGGCTGGAGGAAGTGATGGCACCAAAGTCTTGAGATAAATTCTAAGGGAATCACAGGATGTGGTGATGGAGCCCGCCCATTTACCTGAGGTGTCAAACAAGCCCGGAGGAACTCACCTGTGTATCTTGGAGCCACAGAGACTGCAAGCTGGCAGGGGTCAGCTTCTGACTGCTGCCCCCTGTCTTGACCACCTGCTGCCCCACAAAGGGGGAGACCAAGCGGTGGAACTTCCTCACAGATGGTCCCTCTGGCATCCCTACAGGCGGAAATGGGGAAAAGTAGCCACTGACTTCCCAGGACCACTAGTAGGGGAACTGTGTATGTGATGAGGAGGCGGAGCTCAGGACCATGACAAGTGCAGACACAGGGTCATGTTAGTTCAGAGCATGGAAAGGCTACCTCCAGCCTAACCGCAGATAATTGCCCCTGGGAACTGAAAACAACTGGGGTTGTTTTAACCCTGAGGTATGGTTATCTGTGACCCCATCTATCTCTGCCCCAATCATCTAAGTTCACTCAGAGTTTATGTATAAAGCATTGACATGTTTGAGTCTGAGTGGTGTGTACCCTTGCTTCTGGAAACTCAGAGTCCCTTCCCGCCCCCCTCACCCAGGTTACACTGCTTAACCACCTGTTCTCCACCCCCACCCCCGCCCCCTGCACAAGACTCTGTAAGTTATGATGAAAACCTGAAGAACTGCGTGGATACCCTGCAGGGGGGTAGCTATCGTAGTTCAGCAATTCTAAAACACAATTAATTATCTCTAAAACGAGGATGCCTCTTACTATATCCATGCCTTCTCACAGCTGAATTAGCAGCACATCCAATAATGTGTACTTTACACCTGGTGGTGCTTTAGATTTGCTAAAAAGTAGTGCCATTTCCCCCAGTCAGATCTTCAAGACACTGGAGAGCCCATACTGACAAAAGCGCTGGGTTGGGTTGCAAGGAGACCTCCTGACTGCAGCCTACGTTAACCTCAGCCAGCTCTCAGTGCCCGGGTCCTCTCCAAAAAAAAAAGAAAAAAAAAGAAAAAAAAAAAACGAAGCTTCTGGAAAGGCTTTCATCTGAAATGCACCTAATCCTTGAAATCTCTTTCACAGAGGGGCACATTTAAGGTATACTCACGGAGATGTAAAGGCGGGCAGCAAGTTGTCTCCGCCCTAGCCTTAAGGGAGTAGATGCGTAAAGGACTTCAGGACGCTAACGGCAGTGAGGCTCGTTAGTTAATGGCTAGTGGCGGAGAAGAGGGGCGTCAGGGCGTCCTCTTCTCTGAGGTTAACCACTCACTCCCCCTGGGAGACTAAAATGGCTTCTTTTCCCAACTCTTTCTCGGGGTGAGGGAGAAGATGGGGGGTCTCGGAGACAGGCTTAAGGGCACTGGGGGAGGCTCTCAGAGATAAATGCAGGGCGGACCAGTGGTGCATACACCAACCAAAAAACTGGGCCGGGGTGCAGTCCCGTAAGGCATGCTTCTTCTAACTGCCGGTCACTGCGCTCTCTCGCTGGTAGCAGGCGACGACTGCGCGGAGGCCGCGGGAGAGGCGGGCACTCCCGACCGCAGCGGCTCCGCGCACCGCTGAGCAAGGAGCCTACGCCGCCCCCCCACGCCGGCCTGCTCCTCTCCCCGCGCGCGCCGGCCGCGTTGAGGGGCGAGCAGCTGCACTCACCGGCTCCGGGCCCGTGCCCCTCGGCCCGCCCCAGCCCCGCGGCGAGGCCCGCACGCCGCCTCCGACGCAGGGCGTAGAGGACTCGGCCGCCCCGCGTCCGCGCACTCTCCGCCCGTCGATGGATGCGGAAGGGTCCCGGGAGCAGGGAGCCGGGAAAGGTCTCGAAGTGGTGAGAGGCGGGGTGGCGCAAGGCTCCTCCTTCGCCGGGGAAGAGCTTGCAGTTCCCCCGGGACGTGGGATAGAGCGGGACTCCGCCCCTAGGGCGGGGCGGAGCCCCTGGGGGCCCCGCAGGGACTGGGGAGGGCGCGAGGCTCTTCCCCTGGGGGCGGGGGGGTCTCTGGAGGCGGGGCCGGGGCCGCACTTGGGGAGTAAAGGGCCAGGGAGAGTGGGAGAAGGGCCGGGGGTCAGAGATCGGGCATGTGGCAGAGACGAGGCAAATCGCCTTTGTTTATTGTCTTACGGAGACATGAGGTTATAGAGAAAAGTGAAGGGTCTTCTGAGAACTTTTCTTTGAGTTGATTTTGAACGGCTTCCAAGCTCAGGTCATTTGGCAAAGGAAAGAGGTTGTCAAGAAATTCTCATGAAAATTTTAAAGAGTGGGATCTTTCACTTTATATTATTTGAGTATTATTGATTTTGTCATAAGCAACTTTTGCTTTATCAAAAGTAACATTTAAATTTTTGTTTCAGAGAGTAATAAAGATAAAACGGTAGACTATTCAGAAATAATTGTCTTCTATTGTTAGTTCTCCAAAGAGGATGGGGAGCCAGCGGTCTCCAAGAAGACAGCAGGGTTGTTTGGGGAAGTGCCAGAGCACGTGTTCTGGATGGCAGGAACCATGGACGGGAGAGAGTCCTGAGGAGAAGGACTTGGTCAGGACGGGAGACAGGCCCATTTCTTTCTCAGGTTGTGTACTGCTGATTGAGAGGGAGCAGTACAGGTGGCCTGAAGGGAATAGGGGCAGGAAGTGAGGACAGGAAGTCTAGGAAGTTTTGGGGTACTGAAGTTCCTCAACACAGTGGGATCCTGGAGACAGAGGGCATGAGGTTTGCAGGTGCTGAATTTCCAGGAAGGATCCCCTGAGAACCTTCTGGTCTCCCTCTTTCTATATCTGGCCTCTTCTGGAGAACAGCATCCCCACTGGGATGCCCCTGCTCTAGGATCAGGTGTACACAAACAGTAGCTTCTGAAGCCCTAAATCCACATTGTCTAGACCCTGGCTGAGCTGGGAAGCCAGAGCCACAATCATTGCCTCGCCTTTTGGAATGAATGCCTGATGCCTGAGAAGGCTCTGCAGAGGCCAGAGGACTCTAGAGTCAAGAAATCAAATGGTTTGGGGCGCCTGGATGGCTCAGTGGGTTAAAGCCTCTGCCTTCAGCTCAGGTCATGATCCCAGCATCCAAGAATCGATCCCCGCATCAGGCTCTCTGCTCAGCAGGGAGTCTGCTTCCTCCTCTCTCTGCCTGCCTCTCTGCCTACTTGTGATCTCTGTCTGTCAAATAAATAAATTAAAAAAAAAAAAAGAAATGGTTCACAGCTTGATTCTGTCATTCATACTAATAGCTATTTGTTGAGTACATCCTATGTGCAAAGCACAGCTGTAAGCTCTTTATGTTGAACTGCCACATTATCAGCCGTGGGAAGACAAGCAAGTCACAGTATCTCTGTATCTATTCATGTTGTAAGTGAGATATATATATGGATTTATCATGGAAATATCAAAAAGGAGGGTTTCTCAAACTTGTTTCTCAAACTTCTCATGCCAATGAATCACCTGGGAATCTTATTTAGATGAAGATTCTGACTCAGGTTTCTAGCAGGGTGCAACATTGTGCCTTTCCAGCAAGCTCCCAGGGGCTGCTGCTGTTGCTGCTGGGTCCAGGGACTGCACTTGGAGCAGCAAGGACTTGACAGTTGGTAGGCAGTTGGCAGACACTCAGTGATAAGTATTCTTTGAATGAATGATTAAATGAGACATTAGATGCAAAACACTCATAAACTGTAAAGTGCTGTGGAAGTGTATGTAAACATCATTCTAAGACAATAAGGTTGGGGAAGGACAAACTCCTAAAAGAGTATATCTATAGAATAGCAGTGAAGTGAAGAATACTGTTTCTGCATCAGACTACCTGAGTCCAAATCTCAACACTCAGTGGGCGGAGCTTGGGCAAGTAATTTACCTTTCTGTGCCTCAGTTTCTTCATCTGTAAAATGGAGTGAAATGCGTAACTTACTGGGCCAAAGTGGGACTTACTGAGATGATTCACATAAATCTCTTAGTACTGGGCCTGGCCTAGAGTTCAGTATGTTTTAGTTATTATTATTTGTCTCCTGGATTTGGGGCAACCCCAAAGCCCACAGGAGCCTGGGCCTCAGCACCTAGCCTTCTAAGGGCCATGCAACCAACTCCTCTGTCTTCCTTTGTGTCCCTGATTTCTCCAACAGGATTAAAGTTACAGTGAACATGAAAATCGAATATACAGCCACCTCAAAGTCAGTGAAAAAGGAATAGGAGAAAAATAGGAGAAAAGCAGTAGAATCTGGTGAGGAATCAGACTGCCAAAGAAAGAGTTTGGGGATTCTGAACCACAGAGAGGAGGTTTTACCTGTGTCTAGAGGCATATGAGTTTTGTGACCTTCAGTGAGCTACTTAAAATCCAGGGGTCGTTATCTTCTTTGTGCTGGAAACATGACTGTGAGGGATATACATGTGTTATGTGAATATATAAAGCTATATAATATATAATATATATATTATATATATAATATATAATATATAATATATATAATATATAAAGTCTGACCTGCACTAGTGCTTAATAAGCGGTAGGTGCTTTTTTTAGCATGATTTCTGGGCTGACCTCTGCTTGAAAATCAGGCTTTTATAGTCTGGTGACCACAGGCGAGGAGAACACTGGTGCCCCCACATGGTGAGTGCAGTAACTACAAGGATGGGACCTCAGTGCCTGTCTCAGGAGCCTCCCTAGACGGGTAGGTGCTTAAGAGTGGCTCTTCCTCACACCAGCTCCATGGCTTTGGGCGAGTTCCCTCAATAATGGTGGGACAGGAGGGGTTGGACCAGATGATCCTCGAGACCCCTCATGATCTGTAAATGAGTCAGACCTGGTCTTCCAACCCAGGTATCCTTTCTTCTAGCGGAGTTCAGTTTTCTTTCAGTTTGACTCTCCCAGGCCATCTACTAGAAACCTTGGTAATACTAACTTCCCAAATCCTTAGCAGCTTGTATCTTGTAGCCGCATTGTATTCCCGCGGACTCAGACCCAGAAGCTCCCAGGAATTCCTCAGTGAGGGTGTCCTCATGGGAATAGTTGGATTTTAGGCTGCAGGGCCTCCTGGGTGCCTAAGCTGCACCAGGGCCCCTGACAACTGCCCTGAGATTGTTTGACTGCTTGACTTCATAGCTTTAATAGAAAGGTCCTACCAAGGGCCAGGATACCCTAGATGGAGCTGACCCGGTCAGTTTGGCCAACAGAGCCTTGCAGCACTAGACTAAACCAGAGCCTTGAGAGCAGGAGTTCTTAACCTGGGGTGTATGGAGAAGTTTCCAGAGTTCATAAAACCCTTAAAATAGTGAATAGTGTGCAAAATCTCAGGGTATGGGTACCTTTCTGAGAAAGTGGGTCTGGTTTTTATTATATTTTCAGAGGGGTCTGGACCCCCAAAATCTAAAAAAAAAAAAAAAAAACAAAAAAACAACCACTGCCCCAAATTGCAGAAATGACTTACTTAGAATGCTCTCTATGCAGGACCCTGCAGGAAGCCTCAGAAGTGTGTTCCAGTTCCATGACCTGTGGTACCTCTCAAACCTCTTCAGTGCAGCTGTGTAGTAAGGGAAGACACCTGCATCACTGGATTTAAGAAAATGCACCAGAACTAACACATAGCATGCTTTCCTCTGCAGTGTAGCTGCCGCAGAAGACCCGAAAAATGTTTCCCACTTTCCCTGCTTCCTTTGCTGGCATCAGACCCTTTCAGAGTCTACAGAACATTCCTCAGTAGCTTGTCACTGATGACAAATTCTTATCCTTATGAGGGACATTTAGATAGGGCTGATGGCAAAAATCGGTCAGGCGATTTAATTCTACTTGGGGCCCTAAACTAAATATGGCTAAGAAGCCATAGCCTGGTTCTCTTAGGTTGAGATGAGCAGATTGTCTAAAGGGAATCTAAAGGGAATTCGAACATGTATTTATACAATGGCTGCAACTTTAGAAAAAGTAGTCTCCAGGATGGCTACTTTGTGACATGATACTTAATGTATGTATAGCTTCTGAAACATTTTTAAGTCATTACTTAGGTCACAAGAAAAAGGTACAGTTTTCCATTTGAAGAACCTCACCCTGGAGTCTCCAGAGGAAACTTTTCAGATATTGGGACCCTGAGGTTTCATCTGTACCAACAAGAGCATATAGGATTGAGAGGTGGGGTGTCTGGGTGACCCAGTTGAGCGTCTGCCTTCAGTTCAGGTCATGATCCTGGGATCCTGGGATTCTGGGATGGAGCCCCACTTTGGGCTCCCTACTTAGC